GGGGGGTGGGGGGGTGAGAGTGGTTGCTTCTGACCTATACGGCGGTGGTCAGCGTGGGCGTGTGGACAGGCAAAGGCCTACAGGCCCTGGGTCCTAGGGCCACTCAGCTGCTGGAAAATGAGGTTCAGAGTTGTTTGGACTGTCTGAAGTAGGATAAAACCAGTCTTAGCCCTGGTTAGGTAACATATGCCAGAGGCACCTGAGCGGAGACGTGAGCTGGACCATGGGCTTCCTGGCAGGACTTCCACAGAGGAGGGCGAGGGGAGAGGAGCGAGGGAGCAGAGGGCAGCTTGCCATCCACGCAGTCTCCTGAGGCCCCAGATGAGTCACCAGACAGCAGCCTGTCTTTCCTTAAAGCAACTGCTGAGGAGAAGAGTCCCTAACCACGTGAACACTGGGGAGGAGGTTCTGAAAGAGGCTGCGGGGTGCAAGGTCCACAACTAGGGTAATCCAATTTCACCCCAGGCTAACATGAGAAATTACGACTCTAGCAGCCAATCCTGTGGGCAATGAGAGAGTGGGAGAGGGATTTTCCAGATATAAGTCCCACTAGAGTTTTTTTTTTTTTCTTTTTTCTTTTTTGAGATGGAGTCTCATTCTGTTACCCATGCTGGAGTGCAGTGGCACCATCTCGGCTCACTGCAACCTCCACGTCCAGGGTTCAAGTGATTCTGTTGCCTCAGCCTCCTGAGCAGATGAGACTACAGGTGCGCGTCACCATGCCCAGCTAATTTTTGTATTTTTAGTAGAGACAGGGTTTCACTATATTGGCCAGGCTGGCCTCGAATTCCTGACTTCATGATCTGCCCGCCTCGGCCTCCCAAAGTCTTGGGATTACAGGCATGAGCCACTGTGCCCAGTCCAATTTCGATTTCTTTATTTGTAAAGTTGTAATAATGACAAGAACAGCTCTTCGCCAGAAGCAGTGGCTCTTGCCTGTAATCCCAGCACTTTGGGAGGTTGAGGTGGATGGATCACTTGAGGCCAAGAGTTTGAGATCAGCCTCAGCAACATGGCAAGACCCCCTTTCTCTACAAAAAATATAAAAAATTATCCAGGTGTGGTGGCACACACCTGTGGTCCTAGCTACTTAGGATGCTGATATGGGAAAATCGCCTGAGCCCAGGAATTCAAGGCTGCAGTGAGCTATGATCACGCCACTGCACTCCAGCCTGGGTGAAAGAGCAAGATCCTGTCAAAAAAAAAAAAAAAAAAAGATAGGACCAACTATATGGTAGACACATCTGTGTATGGGAGACACACCTGACAGCAATAACCTAACCATTCCCTGAGAGTCAGCCTGTATGGCAGATGCACCTGAATGTGTGTTCTCAGTGCCAAATATGCCAACTCAGAGATTCATTCCTTATCTATAAGGAACATCTGAACTCTTGTCCTGCCCACAGAAGGCTGTAGAGGGAATCAAGGCCCTTTGTGTTGGTTTAAGTGAAGGTTGCCAGGTGGTGGTTGTTAGGGGGAGGGTGTTAAGTGAAAATGCTATAAACTGCATGCATTTTTACAAGCAGTGGCAATTCTCCTGTCCAGGTCACCTCCATCAGACCACTCTGTATGTAAGTGCCCTTCAATAAACGTGTGCAGTGGCTCCTGCTTATAATCCCAGCACGCTGGGAGGCTGGGGCAGGAGGATCCCTTGAGCCCAGGAGATTGAAAGTAGCCTGGGCAATATAGCGAGGCCCATCTCTAGTGAAAAATGAAAAGAAAAAGAACAACAACAACAAAAATCTATGTCTCATTCGCTGGGTCTCTTCTTTGGCCTTTCAGACATGGTACTACCCCTACCGGAAGTTTTTTTTAAAAATTTTTAATAGATTTTAAATTTTTGTCTGGGCGCAGTGGCTCATGCCTGTAATCCCAGCACTTTGGGAGGCCGAGGTGGTTGGATCACCTGAGGTCGAGAGTTCAAGACCAGCCTGACCAACATAGAGAAACCCCGTCTCTACTAGAAATACAAAAAATTAGCCAGGCGTAGTGGCGGGCGCCTGTAATCCCAGCTGCTCGGGAGGCTGAGGTAGGACAATTGTGTAAACCCGGGAAGCGGAGGTTGTGGTGAGCCGAGATTGCACCACTGCACTCCAGCCTGGGTGACAGAGCGAGACTCCATCTCCAAAAAAAAAAAAGATTTTAAATTTTTAATTTTTTTCTAGTCCCAAAAGTAACATCCTGACCTACTGGAGTTAATGGGGTCTAGCATGATAGTTGGTGGGCCCAGCAGGAGGTGGGAGAGAAGCCCCAGATGATGAGATTGGGAAAGGGCAGACCCGCGGGGAGAAGTCCCAGGTTAGCTGTCCGTGTCTATATGGGGCCCGAGAGCCGCTATGCTTGATGGATCGGGCCTGATGTGTGAGTACAGGGATGCCCTGAAAATGCTGAAAGGTCTGGAAGGGTAGTTGCAGGGGGTGGATCTGACTGAGCAAGGCTCAGATTCCTGAGCTGTGGCGGCTGTAGTTGGCTGGCCACTTCTGACCATGCTCCAAGCAGCCCTAGAGGCTGAGCTCACAGCACAAGCAAGGGTCCAACTAGGCACAGATGGTGGCTTCTCTTCAGGACAAGATGGACTGTTGAGCCTACAAAGAGCCGCCCCTCTCCTCCACCAGGGGCCTGCTGTGTGGCACATCCAAGATGAGCTCCCAAGAACTTGGGGGAACCTTCTATCGTATCCGTTGCTCTTTTTGTTGCGGTGGTTTGTGTTGCTGCTGCGCTGGTGCCAGTGCTCCTCTGTATACCTGGCCCCAGGGAATGTGATGAGACTATGAGAGCCATTCAAGGGTGTGCTGGGGTGGGGCGTATGGTAGATGCACCTGTGTGTGGCAGATGCACCTGACAGTAATATCTTAGGCCTACCCTGAGAATGACCCTGTATGGCAGATGCACCTGAATGTGTGTTCAGAGTTCCCAGTGCAGCCAACCCAAAGATTCATTGTATCTTCTTTTTTTTTTTTTTTTTAACCAGAAACACGTGCACTTTATTGAATGCCATTGTAGAAAAGTGTGTGAGGATAAAGGGCTGATACAGGACTCCGCTCTGGGGGCAGGGCGAGGAATGGAAGGTGGAGCATGTGGGATACAGGTTATGGGCAGAGCTCCTGGCCTGCATGATGTCTCCTGATCTATCAATAGGCTTGGAAGATCAATACTGGGATGACGATGAGCAGAATGGTCATGAGGATGCCCAAAATCAGGGCCTAGATATTCAGGCACTTGGCGGTGGAGGCATAGGCCTGGGCCCCAGTCAGGTCGCCAACCGTCTTCCTGTCCCTAGACTTCACGGAGTAGGCAAACGCTATGAAGCCCAGGCAGCAGGGGTTCATGAAGAGGGTGTTGAATAGGGACCAGACGACATGGTCGGGCACGGAGGTCTCGCTGTGGATGTGGATCACGGTGGATGTCGGGGGAGCAGGGTTGTGGGGCGCCCCCAGCACAGCCACCTCATGCTCCTCCTTGAGCATCTCATAGTTGGGGGGCTGGCCGCTGTTGGCAGGAGAGAAAAAGGTTTGGACCGTGTGGTTCATGGTATCCTGCGAAAGCCAGTGGTGGTCGGGTTAGTGGGATGGTTCTCAGTGGGCCCTCCCTGTCCCCAGTAGTTTCGATTTCTCCAAGATTCATTATATCTTTTCTTTTTTTTTTTTTTTTCTTTTTGAGACAGAGTCTTGCTCTGTCACCCAGGCTGTAACCTCTGTCTCCTGGGTTCAAGCCATTGTCCTGCCTCAGCCTCCTCAGTTGCTGGGGCTATAGGTGTGCACCACCACGTCTGGCTAATTTTTGTATTTTTAGTAGAGACAGGGTTTCACCATGTTGGCCAGGCTGGTCTTGAACTCCTAACCTCAAGTGATCTGCCCACCTCGGCCTCCCAAAGTGCTGGGATTACAGGTGTGAACCACTGCGTCTGGCATCATTATATTTTATTTATGAGGAACATCTGAGAGCCTGCATCATCCTGTGGAATGGGCTGTGCAGGGGATCAAGGCCCTTTGTTTTGGGCTAAATGAAGGTTGCCAGGTGGAGGTTGTTAGGGGAAGGGTACTAAATGAAAACACTATAGAAACTGCCTACTTTCTGTAGGTGCTGGTGCTTCTCTGGCCCAGCCTGCTGCCACCTGACCATCCTGTATAAGTTCCTCTCAATAAACCCCATGTTTCATCTGTTGGCTTTGGGTCTCTTCTTCAGCCACTTGAACCTGATGCCATCCCTACTGGAGTTAATAGGGGTCTGGCATGACACCAACTCTTTTTTTTTTTTTTTTTTTGAGATGGAATCTCACTGTGTCACCCAGGTTGGAGTGCAGTGGCACCATCTTGGTTCACTGCAACCTCTGCCTCCCGGACAAGTGATTCTCCTGCCTCAGCCTCCGGAGTACCTGGGACCACAGGCATGCACCACAGCGCCTGGCTAACTTTTGTATTTTTGTAGGGATGGCGTTTCATCATGTTGGCCAGGCTGGTCTTGAACTCCTGACCTCAAGTGATCCACCTTCCTCGGCCTCCCAAAATGCTGCGATTACAGGCATGAGCCACCACTCCCAGCCCAACACCAACTCTTGAGGTAAAAATGTTTAAATGAGAATGTGTATAAAGCCCTTGGCATGGGTAAGGGTGATGGTGAGGATAGAAATAATAGTAGCAAGAGAAACAGTGATAGTGACAAGCCACATAGCAGTTGTGTACTGGTTTGGGGATGGGGGAGTGGACGGGAAGGGCTGTCCTGCAAGCTTGGGGCCCAAGGGAATCTGAGAGGAAGAGCTTCCTACTGTGGTTAACCTCTGAGGGCCTCATGATCCCAGGCTGGTTCCCTTCAACCTGCCTACAGCTCTGGAAATCCTCCCTTCACTCAGGACTCTTTTATTTTGTTTTGTTTTTTTAAAAATTTTTATTTATTTATTTATTTTTAGATGGAGTCTCGCTTTGTCGCCCAGGCTGGAGTGTAGTGGCGTGATCTCAGCTCACTGCAACCTCTGCCTCCCGGGTTCAAGCGATTCTCCTGCCTCAGCCTCCCAAGTAGCTGGGACTACAGGCACCCACCACCACACCCGGCTAATTTTTGTATTTTTAGTAGAGGTGGGGTTTCACCATATTGGCCAGGCTGGTCTCGAACTCCTGACCTCAGGTGATGTGCCCACCTCAGCGTCCCAAAGTGCTGGGATTACAGGTGTGAGCCACCGTGTCCCGCCCACTTGGGACTCTTCATTGAAGCCATCTGAGTGGATTCTGTTGGGACCTCAACTGATCCAATACTTGACGATTGCTGTGTGTCCTTCTGTCGGTCTTTTGAGATGGTCCTCAAATCAGCGCCTTCTCTGAACTTCCCTTGGCTTCTTCCCTTGGCTGTAGACACTAACATTTCCTCAAGCACCCAGGTGTGACTTTTAGTCATGCCTGATTGATGCTTCCCTCTCCCTGAGCCCCCACATCCTGACACTCTTACCCCCGCCAATCCCTCATGCCCACTCCTTCCTTTCCCTTCCCCTGGCTTCTCCTTCCCATTCAGACCTTACTTCCTCCTGCTTGGGCTGTGACAGGAGTCTCCTTCTATATCCTCATTCAGATGAATCTCTCTAAAGCTGGGGCTTTCTTGTTTCTTTCTTTTTCTTTTTTGAGACTTTTTTAGACAAGGTCTCGCTCTGTCACCTGGGCTGGGGTGCAGTGGCACGGCTCACTGCAGCCTCGACCGCCCAAGCTCAAGTCATTCTCCAGACTCAGCCTCCCAAGTAGCTGGGACTACAGGCACATACCACCATGCCCGGCTAATTTTTTGTAGAGACAGGATTTCGCCATGTTGCTCAGGCTGTTCCGGAACTCCTGAGCTCAAGTGATCTGCCCACCTTGGCCTCCCAAAGTGCTGGTACTTATAGGCACGGACCACCATGCCTGGCTAAAACTGGAGCTGTCAAGCTTTTTTGACCATGACTCATAATAAGAAATATATACATATACTTGAGACAGGGTCTCGCTCTGTTGCCTCGGATGGAGTGCAGTGGCATGATCATGGCTCACAATCACAGCTCACTGCAGCCTTGACCTCCCAGGCTCAAGTGATCCCCCCAGTTGCTGTGTACCACCACACCTGGCTAATTTTTTATTTTTATTTTTAGTAGAGATGAGGTCTTGCTATGTTGCCCAGGCTGGTCTCAAACTCCTGAACTCAAGCGATCCTCCCAAAGTGCCGGGATTACAGACATGAGCCACTGTTCCCAGCCAAGAAGTATGTTTTACCTTACAACCCAATACACACACACAAAACTCACAAAGCAATACTGCATTCTGTTTTATTCATGATCCACTAAATTGACTTTGTGGCTCAATAATGGGTCATATCCCACAGTTTGAAAACACTGCCCCAAAGCATAGCTCCGATTATGTCACTGCTCCAGGGAAAGCTTTCAATTATCTCTAGCACCCACTGAATTGAGTACAAGTTTAACCTGGCATTAAAGGTCTTGTATAGGATGACTCCAAGCTGTCTGTCTAAACATTTCTCTCCCTACCTCCAATTATGCCATTTAAACTGTCGGGGTCTTAGTGGTCTAATATATTGCATGGGAATAAAAATACTTCCCTAGGCTGGAAGCTAGGGGTAGACCAGATGGTCCGTTTACTTTCCTTTATCTATAAGAGCTATGACTCTGGGATTGTAAGGACCCAATATCAATGACCAAGCACATCTCCTCTCTGGTGTCTGTGCATTCTCATGTCTTTATCTGTGTTCATGTTGTTCCCTTTAGTCACTGTCCTCCATCTCCCTCTATCTTCCTGTGTTGAAATCCCAACAAAGTCCAACAAGAGCAAAGGACACAGGAAGGAAAGGTAGGAACTTACCTGAGGAATGAAATTAGCACTGAGGCTGGAGACACGAAGGCTGGCATGTTACCTGAGATGGGCTGGGCTACATCACACCAAACCAAGAGCCTCAGGCTGAGATTTTATCTTAAATTGAAGTCATAGGGAGTCAGGGCTAGCTTCTGGGCAGGTGTGACATGTTCAAAGGTGAGGTTGAGCCAGGGTCGGTGGCTCATGCCTGTAATCCCAGCACTTTGGGAGGCTAAGGAGGGTGAATCATTTGAAGTCAGGAGTTTGAGACCAGCCTGGCCAATGTGGTGAAACCCTGTCTCTACTAAAAATACAAAAATTAGCTGGGTGTGGCAGTGGGCACCTGTAATCCCAGTTACTCGGGAGGCTGAGGCAGGAGAATTGCTTGAACCGGGGAGGCAGAGGTTGCCGTGAGCCGAGATCACGCCACTGCACTGCAGCCTGGGCGACAGAGTGAGACCCTGTCTCAAAACAAAAACAAAAACAAGAAAACATGGTGAGGTTGAAGGCTGATTTATGTGGAGCTGGGGACATAAGAGTTTACTTCAATAGTACAATGGACACAGCCGGGATATAATTAGTATCAGGCCAGACCACGGATGAATCCTAGAAATCTAGGCAAGCAGCATCTGGGAGCTTTGGCTACAGATGAGCGTGCTGGAAAGCAGGAGGGACACTGTGTCAAGGTAAAAGAGACAGGCCTGAGCAGTGAGTGCCTGGCTGGAACATAGTGCAGGGACACAGGCGGGGACTGGGACTTGGGAGCAGGAGGCCATCCCTGGGAGGGCTGATGAGAACTGAGCTTCTGACAGCAAATAAAATGTGTTCCTGCTGTGATGGGATACCTAGAAAGCACTCTAAGGGGGGCGGGGGAGGGGGGAGGGATAGCATTAGGAGAAATACCTAATGCAAATGACGAATTAATGGGTGCAGCAAACCAACATGGCACATGTATAAATATGTAACAAACCTGGATGTTGTGCACAGGTACCCTAGAACTTAAAGTATAATAAATTAAAAAAAAAAAAAAAAAGAAGAAAGTACTCTAGGGAACCCATTGCTTGTCATCCATCTGGCACCAAAACCTAAGCTCTGAATGATGCCAAATTACCACCAAAGTCTCTAAGGGACAGATGCAAATTCTCTCTCCTGGGACCTAGCACAGTGCTTGCACAGAGCAGGTCTTGACAGGTTTTTGTTGAGTAGAATTGCAAAGGGATTATCATCGTTATCGTCCCATGGATAACACTGTTTGCTTCTTTACCTTCATGGGTTGACTTTTTTTGTGTCCTGGGCCTGAGTTGTCTTCTAAATACTAGAGCTCTGTGGCTGATTATGTTAGCATTCTGATCTCATTAACCTAAATGCATTTCTAGATGAAAGCTTTGATATGCAGCTTCAACAACTGGTGCCGGTGTGAACTGGCAAGGCCCCAGCGTTACTGTGCTGTCGTCGTCTTTCATCCCAAAGCCCTTGAGGAGCAGTGAGAACTCAGCGCTGTGGTGAAACATTTCCTATGAATAGTCATGAGACTTGCTTCCTTCTGGTGCAGAAGAAACTGTTACCAAGCAAGGGCTGGAGAAGCCAATACTATGGCAATGGCTTCTGAGATAAGAAAAAACTTTATCACCAGTTGACTGGCAAAGACACAGGAGGCAACATTCAACTTGATTGCCAGGATCTGGGTGGTTGGGTCAAACTTTTGTGGCATTTCTAACTAGGCCCAGTCCCCCATGGCAGCCAGTCTGCTATGCTGGCAATGCTAACAATGAGGAGGTTAAACTCAT